ATTCCAGTTCATTATATCCAGTTGTTTGCTCAACTTTTCTGCTTGAATTCTAATAGGAATCTCAAAATTCACATGTCCAAACCCTAACTTTTTTTCTGAGGCAGAGTCTCACTCTGTTGCCCAGGCTGGAGTGCAGTGGTGAGATCTTGGCTCACAGCAACCTCCGCCTCCCAGGTTCAATGGATTCTCCTGCCTCAGCCTCCTGAGTAGCTGGGATTATAGGCACCTGGCACCACACCCAGCTAATATTTGTATTTTTAGTAGAGACAGGCTTTCACCATGTTGGCCAGGCTGGTCTTGAACTCCTGACCTCAGGTGATCCATCTGCATTGGTCTCCCAAAGCGCTGGAATTACATGTATCAGCCACCGCGCCTGGCCCAAACCCTAACTTGATTCCTGTCCCTCTACCCCAAACCCACTTCTCTCCCAGTCCTTACCATCTCCGTGAATGACAAATCCACTCTATCTGATGTTCAGACCAAAAACGTGGGCATAATCCTTTATTTACTTTCTCTCATATCCCACATTTTACATAAAAACTAATCCTCTCAAGCTCTTCCTTCAAAATATATCCAGAATCCAATCACATTTTACCACTTCCACTGCTACTATTCTAGACCAAGTCACCAATATCTCTTGCCTGGAATGTTGCTTATGATTATTGCTCCTGAAATGGTTTCGTGCATCTACCTTTGACGCCTGTGCCTACCCCAGCCCCACTGTGGAACTTTCTCATAGTAGCCAGAGTGATCATTTAAAAATTCAAGTCAGATTATATCTTTCTTCTATTCAAAAACTCTCCAATGACTTTCCATCTCAGAATCGAAATTCTTACAATGGCCTATAAGTTCTGACATAATATAATCTTATAACTATTTTATTTCATGTCCTTGACAAATATATCTCTACCGTGACAAGTACATTTTCACTTTAAAATTCTCTGCCTTAGCCGGGCGTGGTGGCTCACACTGATAATCACAACACTTTGGAAGGCTGAGGCAGATGGATCGCGAGGTCAAGAAATCTTACCATCCTGGCCAATATGGTGAAACCCCGTCTCTATTCACCAACAGTGTGAAACCTCGTCTCAAAAAAATTAGCTGGGCATGGTGGCGTGCACCTGTAGTACCACCTACTGGGCAGGGTGAGGCAGGAGAATCATCTGAACCCGGCTGCAGTGAGCTGAGATTGTGCCACTGCACTCCAGCCTGGTGACAGAGCAAGACTTCATCTCAAAAAAAAAAAAAAAAAACTGACCCTCTGCCTGAACGGTTAATCTTTGACAGCTGTGTAGCTTGCTCTTTTCATTCAGATTTCTCCTGTAAATGTCACCTATCTGAAAAGCCTTCTCTGACAAGACTACAAAAAACAGCATAATCCCCATTTCTTTCACCATTCCTTTTCTCTGCTTTTATCGTTGTTGTTTGAATAGAATTGACTGTCACTTATATCTTGTATGGTTTTTTTTTTTGGAGATAGGGTCTCACTGTATCACCCAGGCTGGAGTGCAGTGGCATGATCACAGTTCACTGCAGCCTCAATCTCCTGGGCTCAAGCAATCCTCCCACCTTAGCCTCCCAAGTAGCTAAGACTACACACGCCTGCCACAGTGCTTGGCTAATTTTTGTATTTTTTATAGAGATAGGGGTCTCACTATATTGTCCAGGCTGGTTTGTTGATTTTTAATTTACTATCTCTCTCTTCTCAGTAGAGTAGAATCTACAATGACAGCTGCAACCTCCTATGTTTTGTTCACTGTTGCATTCATGGTGCCCAAAACAGGACCTAGTCCAACCAGATATTCAATAAATATGTACTTAATAATTTCCTACAGTCTTTAACTTTGTTAGGAGTGTCTCCATTATACTAGTTTTTCAAATTTTATTTATTATTATTGTTGTACTTTAGATTCTGGGATACATGTGCTGGTGATGCAGGATTGTTGCACAGATACATACATGGCAAGGTGGTTTTGTTGCCTCCATCCCCCCATCACCTATACCTGGCATTTCTCCCCATGTTATCCCTCCCCCCACCCAACTGTTTTTCCCCTGTCCCCCCCAACAGCCACTATACTAGTCTTTCAAGCTTCAAATCCCTAGTGTTTAGCTTAGAATAGATTGTTTTGTAAAGATTTCTCCATTGGTTCTTCCTTCTTTACTTAATAGATCTAATCTGTCATCACTTCCAAACAATTCTTACCTAAGACATGCCTCATCCTTGGTAATCACACTTTCATGATCCTATTTCTTTCTTTCTTTTTTTTTTTTTGAGACAGAGTGCTGCGTTGTTGCCCAGGCTGGAGTACAGTGGCACAATCTTGGCTCCCTGCAACCTCTGCCTCCTGGGTTCAAGTGATTCTCCTGCCTCAGCCTCCTAAGTAGCTGGGATTACAGGCACATGCCACAACGCCTGGCTAATTTTTGTATTTTTAGGGTGGTCTTCAACTTGTGACTTCAAGTAATCCACTCACCTTGGCCTCCCAAAGTGTGAGGATTATAGGCATGAGCCACCACGCCCGGCCTCATGATCCCATTTCAAACTAAGATCTTTTTGCCATGTTCCTGCCCTCTTTATTGTATTTTGTATCACACTGCTAGATTATACTTCTGTTTTATTATTTCACTAAGTTTCAAACTCTGTAACAGGGTTTCCTAGTGTTGCCTCTACTGACATGTTGGTTCAGATAATTCTTTGTGTCGTAAGATGTTTAGCACCAGCCTTGCCCTCTCTACCCACTAGACGCTAGCAGCACCTCCCTGAGTTGTAACAACCAAAAATGTCCCAAGACATTGCCAAATGCCCCCTGAAGCACAAAATTGGCACTGGCTGAGAAACACTGTCTTATTTTAGTGTTAAAAAGAAAACAAAAAATTTCTGCATAATTTGATTCTCTTTTACATCTTACAATTGGTAAAGCTCATTTCGACTCAAGGAGAAAAGGTTGGGGAGGTCTGTCCTACAGAATAAAATCTCAGTTCCAAGGTTGAGATTCAAGGTCCTGGACACTATCTCAACTCTTCTACTCAGAATTCACCTTTGCAATCTAACTGGGCTTTCTACTACTCAAAGAAGCATGGATCCCCACCCTGCTTTCCTCACTAACTTTCCATTGTACTTCCACATCTCATTCACTTGAAATACTTAATTTCTCCATTTTAACATCTTGTAATGGAGTCAGAGCAATGGATATATCTGCAAAACCTTAATTCTTAATTACTTGTATTGTGCAGTAGAGTGATGCCCTTTCAAGATGCCGCTTCCCATCCTGCTACTTTCATCTGATACCTGGTCTTAAAAGTTTTCTAATATGAGCAGTATGTTTATCAAACAGAATTTTGTAATTCAGTAAAGAAATATAAAATCCTTCCACTGGAAAGTTACAAATAAGTTAGGACCACATTAGCCAATTTTCCATGAAACTCATGCCCCTTTCTTGTGCATCAAACTGTCAAGAACATGCTTTGTGAAAAAAAATGGCTCTTCACTCTGGCACAGAAATCCACAATTTATCTTTTCTCAAAGAGAAGTCACATCTTTTCTTTCTCACCCTCTCTCCTGGGTCATCCAGCTCTCTCTCTAAATCCTCCAGCACAGTCACCACCTCCTCCCCACTCTCTGGATGCTGCTCCTGCACCCAGGCCTGGAGCTCCTCAGGTAGGATGGTCAGGAACTGCTCCAGCACCAGTAGCTCCAGGATCTGTTCTTTGGTGTGGGTCTCTGGCCTCAGCCACTGATGGCAAAGCTCTCGGAGTCGGCTCAAAGCCTCACGGGGACCAGATGTCTCCTGGTAGCAGAACTGTCTGAAGTACTGACGGAAGACCTCTCTACTGTGGGTGTTGTTTTTACGCAGGTTCCAATTTTGTCTGGTGATACACTTCTCCTCCTCCTCTATCTTTACTTTCAAAGGTTCATCCTGGTCCATGTGGGCCTGGATAGCCCAAGTGGATGTCATTTTAGCTGTGCAAGAACTATCGGTGTTTCAAGTAAGATCTCCCTGGAAAATTTCTTTCTGGACAGTCCTGAGGAGTAAGACATCATTATTAATACAAGCTACGCCATAAAGGAAAACTGCAAGTTTGGAGAACTTGGAAAGCCGGCCTCCAGATTAATGTACAATACTCAGAAAAATACTCCGATAGAAAAGACTTAAGATTAGACCAATTTAAAGACAAAGACTGAGGAAAGGTGCCAAGTTGTTTCAGGACTTTAAGAAGGAAGAGTAAGACTTGATAGTAAACTTGTTCTCATTTGGTCCTAAATGAAAGACAAATAGAATAAAACTAACATTTAGAATAAGTAAATAATAATGATGAAAGCTTGGGACATCCTTGATTAGTTACTTTTATCTTTTAAATGTCCAGATGTCTGGTGAAATCAGACATGAAATCATAAAAGCAACAAAGTAATATAAATGTATTTCCTCAGGGACTTCGTCTTTCTGCTCATTCTTCACTTATAAAGTGAGAAGGCTGAAGACGTTACTCTTTAAGGCTTTCCCCCACCCTCACGGTCGGTGATTATAATCTGAAGTGAGGCAGGCCCCGGAAAGGGTCCCTAGGACTCCGGCCAGCGTCGGTGACCCGCCACTTTCCAGAAATGTCGGCTAGCGCTGAACCCAAGGATGCACAGCCCGAGGCAAACCTGGAAGGTATGAGCCTTACAGCCTGGAATTGCCGCAGACACTGGGAGCCGACCCCTCACCCCAAAGGGTCCCAATGCACTTTGGGGAGGGAGAGCTTCCCGCGGATCCGCCTGGGATTGGGAGGACTGGGGTGCCCTCTACACCAGCCAGAGCCTGAGGGGCCCAGTGGCTGGAATACAGCAATCTCCCGCCCACCTGCTCGCCGCGCACAAAGGACAACACCGCTCACCTGCGGCCGCCGGCGCCGGCGGACTCCCTCCTAGTGAGCGAAGGGCGGGGTCTCAAACCCTTTCCGGAACCGGAACCCATCAAAAGTGATCCACAAAGGCCGGAAGCGGTCGCGGGGGGCGCACTTCCGCAGCCGCTCCCGGAAGGGGGCGAGAGGGGCTTTCAACTCAGTAGTGTTTCCGGGCGCCTACTCGAGAGTGAAACTGAAACTGAGGGCTTTCAGGCCCGCGGGTAACAGGTACGCGTTTATCTCCCTCCTTTGCTTTACCCAGCCATTGGCCACACTTTCCCCGACCAGACGGGTGGTGGAGGCTTGTAGATCTGATCTGAAGACTGGGAAATCCCTTGCGTCTCCATTCACTTTGGGTTCGGAGGTCATTTCCGACTCCGACTCCACGCTTAGTGGCGGCGAAGGGAGTCCTTCCACACAAACTTCTCAAGGGCCAGCCTGCTGGTTTCTGCTGGCTATTTCGTCATCCACGATTCTCTTGATGTTCTTTTTTTTGCGCTTATGATATGATTGTACATCAGAAAGCCCAGTTCAATGGAAAAACTATATAAAAAGAATAATTTAGTAAATTAGCAAGATATAAAATTAACACACTAAAATCAACGCCCTTCATATATGTGAATAGTCAATGATAACGAGTTACGAGGTATAATGGAAGAGAATACCGTATTTACAATAGCAAGAAAAAAAGTGAAAATAGGAATAAACAAGAAATGAGCAAAACTTCTCTGGGGGAATCGTTAAAACACTCCTAAATGGCCAAGTGTACATTAAACAAATAGAAAGCAATATGCTGTTCTTGGAAAGACCCAAAGAGGTCAGTCCTCCCTAAATATGTATGCAACTATACTATTCCAACAAAAATATCAACCAATATTGTTCTGGAATTAGATAACTTGATTATAAAGTTCAAGTGGGGACGTAAGAATAGACAGGAAACCCATGAAAAAGAACAATGGTGAGGGACAATCATTTCAGATACTGGAACATACACGTATTATTTTAGTTTATTAACGGAGAAAGAATATACCAGAAATAGATGCAGGTATATAAGGATATTCAGTAAATGATGAAGGTGACATCACATATAAATGGGGAAATGAATCACTTAGAAGTTGTACTGGGATGACAACCATTTGGCAAAGCTAAACTGGATTTGTATTTCCCACCACACATCACAATCAAGATAAATTCTAAATGGATCTGAGATCTAAATGTGAAAAATCCACCTATACATGTATTAGAAAACATGAATAATAATTCTAACAATGGGAATGGGGAAACGTTATCTAACCATATGACTCAGAATCCAAAAGCCATACAAGTAACAAATCTGACTACATGAAATTAAAATGTATTGCTTGTCAAAAAAAAAATACCACAAGTAAAGAAAAAGGTTTGCAACATGTAGAGAAGATGGCCAAAAGATAGTTGACAGAATAAAAATGCTAGCACCCCTTGAACATCTATAAAAATGTTCAGCTTCACTCAAAATATGAACATATGAATTGAAAACTATGCTGAGTGAGGTACCATTAGTCATTAGATTGGCAATGGTCCAAGAGTTTGACAGTACACTCTACTCATGAGGAAAAGGAAATTCTTAACATATTCCAGTGCGAATGCAAAATGGTGCGACCCATAGGTGGGAAAAATAATACTATACAGCAAAATTATATATGTAAGTTTACCCTTTGTTCCTGCAATACCACTTCTAGAAATCCATCTCAGAGTTACTTTGACAAAAATATAAAGTGACATACACACAAGATTAAATGGGATTGGGGGAGACCTGACTTTTAAAATGCTAAATATGAGGGAATGAAATTGAGAAATACTCAGGAGGATAAATGGATCAAGGCTTTGTCATTGATTATGTGGGGGTTAAGAGAACCAAAAAAAAGCCTGGCATCATCAGAGGATGGTGGTCCCTCCACCAAGACCGGGGACACTAAATGACAGGTAGCATTTTGAGAAGAAATGTATGAGCTCAGCTTGGCCATGTTAAGCTTGAAATCCTGGAAAGCATCACACTGTAGATGTTGCTTTTTGTTAATGGATTGGTTTAGGGATTCGTGGGTCTAGGAGTCATGAGAAAAGAGTTAGCTTGAGATCCAAGCTTCTACCTTGCAGTAATTGTTAAAATGATTAAGATATCTCACAAAGTGTGTGGTGCTAAAAGACAGCCTAGGACAGATTTCTGGAGTGCCCTTTTCATGGACTCTTCTTTCAGGGCATCTGGGGAGAAGGGAGAGAGAGAGCCCTCCTCATACCTTGCCAGGGCTCAAATCTTATGTGAAGCCATACAACATCTCAGAAAACAACACACACAGAGAAATTATTGGACAACAACTTGAATTCATCCTGGAAGTGAACCTCAAGCTCACTTTGGGGTTCTTTTCTAGGCATCTAGAAAGATTTTTGCAACTCAGGGTTTTCCAAGTTCCACTTGGCATGACTTACTGCAAGAAGCTGTTATGAAAGTCTCACTTAAAAAGTCAGCTTGCACCAAGGATGATTGACTTGGCATAGTTCCCAGGGACGTAGGTAAAAAGTCAACTTTGTCATAGATACAGTGTAGCCACAAGAAAAGAGCATTTAAGCACAAAGAGATCTTAAGACAGAGAGAACTCTGAGTAAAACCATTCTCCATCTTTTGACTCTGGAGAAACACAGGGATATAGAGACAAAGAGCAGACAAAAATGGATCTCCAGAATACCTTTGTTTTAAACAATTTTTGTCTAATGTTATTACACTTTTTGGCCATTTTACTAACCAAATAACTCTAACATTTAAAAGGGAGAAAGTTTCTTGTGATATATTGGCAAGCCTTCTAACTGCCCTTAAAATCAAAAGGGAAAAAAAGCAGGTGTTGATATCTAGAACTCAAAGAATAAGAGAAAATGTAAAACTGTAATATCAGAAGCTCACTCTGTTACTTTGTGAACATGAAAGCATGTATAAACTTGATTGCTCATAATTGTGTCAGGTTTATTTAGTGAGATTGAAAGGGGATGGAGACAATTGAGAAAGTATTTAGGAAAAGTTTCCAATAAAGGCTTATTTTTCCTTTGTACTTTAAATCCGAGGTGGATAAACGTATTGTGGAAAATTAAAGATGGCTACAAATTCTTTGACATTTCACATCAAGATGGTGGGGTCTGTGTCACCTTCCCGTGAATCTGAGTGGGTTAATGATTGATTTGACCAATAAAATACTGCAGGAAGTATTTCATTTACAGATTTGAAATCAGAAGCCAAAAGCAAAACAAAGTTTTATGATGTGAATTCTGTGAGCTTCAGAAAGTATATAGTTGAGAACACAGGTACTTCAGAGAAAGCATATAGTGAGAACACAGGTAAATATATCAATAAAGGAAGAACTCTCAGAGTTCACATGGATACAGTAGAATGTTTTGCTTCCTATTTATACCTCTAATCGGAGAGTCCATAACTAGCTGTTTTTTAAAAAGACCGAATAGTGTCTAATTGATGAACTACTGATATCGTTTGTTTTTTGCAGGTCATCTCTCAGCTGTCTTTAAGAAATGTGCAACAGATTAAGAAAAAGTCTGAAAACTATTTCAATAGGTCCATGCTGGTAAGCAGAAACTGAGCCATGTAACTGGGTACAAATTGAATAAAACCTTGTTTTAAAAAGTGAGTTAAAAAAGTAAAAGTGAGTAAAAATTTAAGCTGCCCTCCGTCCCAGGGACACAAAAGTAGGAGCTGAGAATAGTATCATAATCATACATTGAAGATTGTGACTTAAATTCTAATTGAATATTACAGATATTCAATAGGCAATGTTTAGAGTAAGCAAACAAAAAACAACAAGAAAGCAATAGAACCAAATTGCTTAGTGATATGGAGGTGACCATTATGAGAAGCAGGCATAGAAAAGGTAGCCCTCAGGAGTACTGGAGAGTGTGTCAAATGATAAAGTAGATCTGTTGCTTTTCATCATAAAACCTGGTTTGCTATTTGATTTTTTAAATATTATAAACTTTTCAGGGCATAGTGGTCTATAAAAAATTATAAGCTTATCTTACTTTGATTAGAAAAAAGTAGCATGTTGACAATTTTCATGGTTAAAAAGAGAGAGAGAGAGAGAGAGAGAGAGAGAAAGACAACAGCAAAAGAAAAATTAAAGGACAGTGGTGCATGCATGTAATCCCAGCACTTTGGGAAGCCAAGGTCGTAGGATCACTTGAGGCCGGGAAGTTGAGGCTTGCAGTGAGCTGTGATTGCACCACTGCACTGAAGCCTGGATGACAGAATGAGACTTTGTCCTCTAAAAAGAAAAATTAACATTCTGAGTATGTGTCAGAATGCACATGCCCAAGGTGAACAATGCCCAAGGTGAACGGTATGAACATATTAACAAAATAGTGAAATGTACCTATCCTAGAAGCATCCACCAGGCAGTTTTGTTGTTTAACACAAATGGTTTCTTTGGAAGAGCTGGATGGTAATCTGAGTTACAGGTCCTCAGGGTCTTGAAATTCACAGATCACTAAGATCTCATGGCTCATCTACAATATCTGCTGTTTGCGTGCGTGCGTGTGTGTGCGTGTGTGTGTGTGTGTGTGTGTGTGTGTGTATGTGTGTGTGTGTAGAAAATAGACTTTGATCTTTTGGTAAAACTGATTTTTTTT